CGTCCTGGGGCTTCAGCCTTGCCTTCGACGTGTGCCACCCCCAGGTGGCCATGTTCGCTCTGGATCGGGTCGGCCTCCCGGGCAACCTGCGCAACATGCTGGGGCGCCAGTGGGGCAACCACCAGCGATGGATGACGCACGGCGGCTGCTGCCACCCATAGCCGCAGCAAGTCGACAGTTCCCTCTCCTGGGGGGACCCCTGGTTCCTGGTGGCCATTTGCTGCGTGCTTATGGGGCCACTCCGGCAGGTCAAGGCCGAGGCCATAGGCGTGAAGTGCAAGCTTTTCATTGACGACCGGGCCTGCACCTCGCGCTCGTTGGCCGCTGTGTTGCGCGCCGCCGTGATCTGGCGGCGCTGGGGCGCCATCTGGGGCCCGACACCACCAAGGAGCAGTGGGTGCACCGGCAGCCCTCCCACCGGCGGCGGCTGGCGGAAGGCCGGCGTGCCCCAGGCAAGCGCGAAGGGCTCGGCCACCATCCTGGGGGCCAAAGTGACTCAGGCAGGAAAAAAACACACAGACACAAGGAATCGTCGATCCCCAGGAGAATATGGGAAAATGTGGGAAGTGGGGGGAAGACGCAAACCCAGAACGTAGGGGGAAATATGGGGAATCCTTTGATATCTGTATGTTTTTTCTTGTGTGTCCCAGGGCCCCTTCAGTGACTGGCGGCGCCAGCCGCCCTCCGAGCGACGAGGCGAAGCAGCGGTGGAGAAGGGCTGCGGCCCAGGCGCGCGCAGCAGCGCGGCTCCCCGTCGACTTCGCCTCCCGGGTGCGCGGGGCGTCCAGAGCGGGCCTCGCAGCTCCGCAGAGAGTTCGGGCGGCTGGAGCAGCCGCCCCGGAAGCAGGACGCCGATCGGCTCCTTGCCCGGGCCTGGGGCGCGCTGGAGGTACCCCGGATTCCATAATAAAGTAGGGGGGGTTACATTTGGCGGGGGGGTCTGATTTGAGCTGTCTTGAAGGGTTAGGGGGGGTCAGGGCAAAGTGCCGCCCTTTCATGGATGGTCTGGGGGGATCTAAAACTTGTGGTCTGGGAGGATTGTGACCCCCTCCCGTTTTATTTCGAAACCTGGAGTGCCCCCGCCACTCGGCGGAGAGCCGCTCCGCCTGCTGGTGACGGGGCGCAGGACTGACCCGCGCTGCCGCGTCCAGCGGCACGCGGTGGCGTCGCTCCTCGGAGCAGCCAGGAAGGCCGTCCAAGAGGGCATCGCTGCCGTCGTCGACATCCCGTGGGCCGCAGGCGGGAGGGGTTACGCCAGGCTGTTGTCCAAGCGCCTGGAATGGACGGACTGGAAACCCCAGCAGCACCGCCCGTCGCTGAGGCGGCCCGTCGGCATCGACAAGGACCTGTCGATCCACGCCGACAGCGAGCACTGGCACTCGCCGGTGCTAGCAGAACACCTTCTCCGGGAGGTCTGGCGCGACACCCAGTACCAGGCCTAGCAGAAGTTTGGCCGGCGCGGCGCCGCCAGCCCAGGCATGCCCCCCCAGGTCTCCGAAGGCCGCGTCAAGGCCATGATGGACCTCGCCCAGGAAAAGCCGCGGAGGTCGCGACGACTCCTCGCAGGGGCCGTCGTCTCCTCGGCGGCGGCCGCCGCAGCAGCCGCGGCGCGGGGTGGCGAGGAGTTCCCTCTCCGTCCCCCGTGCCCCTCTTGCGGCCATGACCACGGAACTCTTGATCGCGCGATGTGGAGGTGCCAGTGCCCAGCGATCCGCGTCGTCCGCCCAGGGTCGGCCTGGACCTGGCCACCTGTAACTACGGCATGATGGTGGACCACGTCCTTCTTCGCACAGGGCACGGCGGCGTCACACCCGAAGAGGTGATCGCCAGCTGCCGCGCCACGTGGCACGGCGGCGCCGCCCCTGGCGGGGCGGGCGCCGACAGGTGAGTGTTTCTTTGTTGCTTGGGGCGTGACGGGCGTCATGACTCCCGCCCCCCCCCCTACGACGTAACGCTCCCCCCCCCAGTGCGCTCTGGGCAATGCCGTCGTGCGCTTCGGGATCCGCATATGTGTCCGCATGGAAATCCGCAAAGGAGTCTGGTCAATCTCATGGGGATCCGCACAGGGATGCGCATGCGCATCCGCGTAGGGATCCGCATAGGGATGCACGTAAGGATCCGCATCGGGATTCGCATAGGGTCATCTGCATGGGCATCGGGCATCTGCATAGGCATCTGCATAGGCAATGCGCATGGGCATCTGCATAGGCATCGGCATCGGGACCTGCATCGATCCGCATAAGCATCTGCATACGGATCCGCGTAGGGATCTGCATAGGGATTCGCCTAGGGATCGGCATAGGGATTCGCATACGTAGGGACTCGTACTGGGATCCGCATAGGGATTCGAAATTGTGATTATGTGTTCCCGCTGATAACTCTTCCTCCTCTTTCTTCTCCTCCCTCTCCTCCTCTTCTTCCTCTTCCTCCTTCTCCTCCTCCCCCTTTCTCCTCGTCCCTCTCTTCCTCCGTATCGCCATTTTTGGGTCAAGCCTTTTTGGCGCCAAAAGGTGGCAGAGGCCCGTGCGGCAGCGGACCTGCGGGCCGCCAAGCAGGGCGGCGGCAGATCCTCACCTACGTGCTCGTTCTACTTGTCCTATGCACGCAGGCGCTGTGGTGTACACCAGCGCTGCGTTGCACGCGGATGCTGTGGTGTAGACGGGCGCTGTGGGGTGCACAGGCGCTGCGGTGCACGCAAGCATTGTGGTGTACACAGGCGCTGTGTTGCACATGGTTGCTGCGGTGTGCACATTCGCTGTGGTGTACACCTGCGCTGTGGTACACGCGGCACTGCGTTGCACACGGCTGTTGCGGTGTACGCAGGCGCTGTGGTGTACGCTCGCGCTGTGGTGCACGCGAGCATTGTGCTGTACACAGGCGTTGTGGGGCGGATCGCCACCTACATGCTGCTCGCGTCGTCGTCGTCGTCGTCGTCGTCGTCGTCGTCGTCGTCGTCGCCCGTCGCTCATTGCTCGTCGATCATCGTCGTCGTGCGCGCGGGCGCGGCTGTTGTGCCGAAGCCACACGGCGGGGGGGTTCATTGCGTCATACCCCCCCCGCCCCCCCCCCCCAAAGACGCCCGCCATTGCCTGGAAACGCTCTCCAGCATCACAGGGCACGTGCCGGCCTGAAGACCGGCGCATCGTGCTTGGATCATCCAGATGACCCGGCATGCCAATAG